TCGGGATCCAAGGTTAGGAGGGAGTTTGGGAAAGCTTAAGGGTTAGATAAGAGAATAACGGGTGTGGACCGACTCTTCGACATGAAGGCTTAAGGGTTCACTGCGACCCCCATCACTCATCGGGGGGGGAAAGGGGGGCTCCGAAGGGTCGGGGAGGTTCCCTGAACCGCGGCTTCTGCGCGCGCCTCCATGTGGCCGGCTTTGGTCCGTCAAACGCTCCACAAACTTCCTGAGATGTCTGGCCCTTAAACCTCTATACAAGGGCTCGCTGCTGCATGAAGTTCTGGGGTCTTCTACCAGGGCAGCTATGAGGCAGGCTTCTATACGGGTTACGAACTGCAAGGGGCTTCCCCCAAAGCTTGTAAACACCCCTTCGCCCCAGGCTCTCGTAGGGCAGTACCCACCGGCGCGGCCGCTGGGCGTGCGGAGCAGATGGCGGGTCCTGGCATCTCCAGAGTCGCAGCTCGACTTGGGGGCCCCCGAACTGCGGTAGAGGTTTGCTTGGGCGCGCATTGCCACTGCTTCTTCAGACCTATGGGGCACGCCAAGCCCCTGAACCTACGGATGCTGGCAGGAGGGGTGGTCAACTGCCTCCCTTGCCTTCGAAGCCTGTAGCAATCCATACACTTCAGAAACAAGATGAGAGCTTTGGACCCCTAGGACACTTACGAGCTCTGGTCAGCACTTCCATGCCCGAAGCTTCTGAAGGCTCGGGGATCTACGGGGCTTCTAGGATTAATTGGGATTTAGGACGGGGTTGAGGGCTTCAAATCGGGCTGTGGGGAGTCCTGCTGGTAGATCAGCTGCCGTCTCAGGTCCACAGCGAAGATCGAGCCCACAAAAGGTGCTTCGGATCCCAGGAAGAGGAGGTAGCCATCTGACATCTTCGGTGCATGCAGCAGCCAGGCGACGGAGATGGGGATGGAGTATCTGAGCATCGGTTTCAAGGTCGCTGCATGATACTGGTCTGCCACGATCGTCTGAGACGGAGAGAAGCTGAGCATGATGATGGACCCGGTGACCTTATCGTGCAGTACAGCCGATGCCAGGTCGACCGCCAAGCTTCCCATGACTTGCATGCTTGGGAAGGAAACCAGAGCCAAGCAAGAGTTTGGCCGAGAGTTGGCACGGGAATCCCGCGGATCCCACGCAAGGACCACATCCGAGCGGTTGGCTGTAGCTGTTGCCATGGCCGCGTAGATCTGCGATGACTTGACGCAGAGGGCTCCGGTGAGCGGCGCCAGAGAAGCGACGGTGTGGCCAGCGACGAAGCGATGGCAGGCAGTGAGACCTTGTCCCTCCTTCGGTGCAAGCCCAATGGCCCTTTGGACGGCCACCAAACAGGGCGCTCCTAAATCTCCCTGGCAAGCTCCTCGCAACGCAGCGGAGCCGACGACTAGGGACCCCACACCGCTACTTAGGTGAGGGGGCCGGGGCCCCTTCTCTGTCCAGGCGGTGGTATTGATCTGAAAGTTCTCATCCGAAAAGACGGTGCTGGCCAGTCCGTTCACGGCCATGGGGGCTCCGGACTCCAGCTTCACGAACGTCGAGGCGCGGCGCAGGGAAGGTGCCAGGAAGGTGGCCTCGTAGGTGTCGTTGGCCAGGACGATCGGCTGGACCTCCCAGGCCAGCGGAGGGCCGTGGTCCATAATTCCGCCGTGCCATCGAAGCGCCTATCCGAAGCTTTAGAAGACAAAGAGACAGAACACCTGATGCACTCATGTCTGGCTACGGGCAACCCTCTCCTACGAAAGTGTCAGGGGGAATGCCTCGATGTATCGATCGCGCTGCACGTGCAAGATCAGCAGGATGGAAACCAGCATCATGGCCCAGACGCACTTCCTGCGAGCACTGAACGGGCACAAGGAAGGGAGAGGTCGCAGTTCGCTGCCGTCGGTGTGTGGTGTACACGGGATGCTATTGCATACCGCACCAACTTGGGGTGTTTCAGATGTTCTCCAAAAGCGGAACAGATGCAAGGCCCTCTGTCAAAGTGGGCATCCTTGCCCTCCTCCTTCCCCCTTGCAGAACCTAAAACGAGTAACCTTGATCCAAACGCCCCTGCACCCGCAGTGAGGCCTGGAGCTAGAGGTTCCGTATGGGTCCGCCTCCACAATACCCAGCTCCGGGGGCGCCTGCCCAGCAAGGCATGTTCGAGTCGATTGAGGTTGTTGGCCATCGCCGAGTACCGCATGCTTCGAGCAAGGTGCACATGAAGCACGTAGGAGGATGTGCATAAATCCATCTGCCATGATTCGTTCAGTGGCCGTTTTACAAACCATGACTGCTATGACTAGGAGTTAATCGACGACGGGCAGCATTATGACTCCTCTTCCCCCCTCCTGTTCGACACACATGCGTTGCTTCTCCCTCCGCTGTTCGAGGCTAACTCCATGGTAATTCCTATGATGATGGCAACCCTTGACATGAACTCGACCCCGCTGTAGGACTAAATTTGACCCCTGCGAAGCCTGAGCACGGTTGTTCCGCCACTCGGGGTCCGCATTTCCAAAAGCCACGGGAGCCACACGGAAAGGCCCCGACATGGGGAGGATCCTACGCGGAACTGCTGAGTCAAGGCACGGGGCTTCTGCGAATCTTGGGGCTTAGATGGGCTTCAGGGTTGTGGTTGAAGGACTTACAGCTGCACTGCCTTACAGCGGCGAGCTTCCGATGCAGCCTGCACTCAACAGCAATGCTCGCGACAATGCGCGCCCTAGCCACAAGTTTAATCCTACTAAGTTACTAGGATGAAGTACTCATACTATACCGTCTGGCGACACCTGTTACCATGGAACATCTCAGTCGTGTCATGACAATGATACCAAACAAGGTTTCAATATACTCCGGAGCATAAGAATCATGACCGGTAGTCGTTGGCAGAGCTGCTGGATTGTCAAAGCTGAGCCCAAAGGACAGCGCGAAGGTCAAACCAGACGAGCCGGAACCCCGAAGCTTCGAAGCCCTAACGGGCTTCTCTGCTTTTGGGTTCAGGGCCCTGAGCTGAGTTGAGATCCCAAGCTGGAAGCCAAGCTGGAAGTCTAAGATCCAGGCCTTGACTTTCTTTGCAGCCCTCGGCTCGCGCAAAAGAGGGCGGCTCGGTCTTGCAGGCCCATTGGGTTTTTTTTGGCTAGTAGGCCTTTGTGACAGTAGCTTCTTCTTTCAGTATGCAGGCGTCATACCCACAGCACGATGGCTGTCACTCGTGTCAGTCTCGTTGTGCGTGCTATGTGTTTCCATTGCCATCATTACCGCACGGACCTTGACGGCTTCGGGGGGTCGTGCAAGCCGATGCTCAAGAACCCGAACTCGGGCAAGACCGTCAAAATCTTCGACACATGAAATATTTCGTTAAGACATGAGTAGAACACTTCAAGCCCCAACTCCTCCCTAAGCAGCCGAAGCCCTTTCGGGCCGGGGCACCCGGGCTTCAACTCTTCCGTCCCCAGCATCGGATGCTTGCAGCCCGTGAAGGCGGGAGGCGAGAGGTCCAGGTTGGCCTCCCAGAAGCGGAAGAAAAAGGCGGGGCAACTTTTTTTTAGCTTTGTAAAAAGAGGGCTGAAGATGATCGTCGTCGTCATAGAGGGGACATCAGAATAAGGGAAGGATTGCAACACCAACAACACTGATGATGCTAGTGGTGGCGACGTGTGATGATGATGCTGATGATGGTGAGGAGGAGCATGATGAGGAGGAAGACGAGGAGGAGGAGGAGGAGGAGGACAGTGATAGTCTAATGATGATGCGAATCATAATATCAGTAGTATGATAGTGGCATCGACAGTAGTTCATCTTCCTTTTTGCAGCAATGGGGACTCCAAAGGAGAGAGAATAGGGGGGCTGAGGTGTCATGAGGATGTGGCTTCCGGTTTCGTACGGGGTTTTTGTCAAGGCCTGAAGAAGAAAACAACTTGACAATAGACGAAGACTATACTAGTACTGTTGATGATATAAAGCCTGCATTACCTTAAGGAGGGAATTATGGTATATTCCTTATTATGGGTAATGCAGGATTTATATCATCAACCGTATTGTCCACTGATTTCCGAACTAGCCGATGACCCAAGTCTGAGAAAGCTTGGTCGGCTTCGGGGAGCTTGTGGATCATAAACTCCTGAACATTCCTGGCTTCAGTGCTTGTTCGGACATGCAAAAACCGTTGTTTAAGCCCCTTAACTCTATAGAAAAAACCCAAACAAATCTTCTTGAAAAGGTGCCCTATGGACGCCCCAGCTAAACCCAAAAGCACGGCGCGCCTCATCGACCTTGAGCTCACCATCCACCATGGCCAGGTTGCACTCTTCCTCCGGAATGAGGCGACTGCACCTGGGGACTCTTTTGAGTTTAGGGTTTAGGGTCTGAGAAACCAAAGACTCAGAGCGGCTATGTTGAATTGAGAAGAAAAAGGCGCGCTTAGCCTTGTCTGTTAGGAAAAGTGCAGGGGGAGAGGGCTCCCAGTCATGCTTAGGAATTCAGGTCTCGCATTTAAGCTTAAGTTCCGGGGGTTTAGGGTGCGACAACAGCCATCACAGCCAACATCCTCCATCAACTCTCTCCGATGCAGGCTTCTTCCTGCGACTCTTGGCCATCTGGTGGGTCTGGGTGTAGGCGCGGGTGTTGGTGTGGGTGGGCTCATGCAGCAACTTCGACTTGGTACCTGGCATCCGCACTTCTGTTTCGTTTCTACGGACGTGCTCAAGAACCCAAAGTGCAGGTCGGCATGCACCTGTCATCTTCCTCTGCTCGGAAACATGTGGTGTATTTATTGCGTTCGTTCGATGCGTTCGCCTGTTTCAGCAGTCGATGCTGCTCGTGTGAGCAAACCCACACGCTCACAGACACACACACACACACAAAGAGAGAGAGAGAGAGAGAGAGAGAGAGATATATATATATGTATACACACACAGACAGACATTCACTTCTGGCTTGCACCCTGTTCTTCACAACATCCTGCACAGTATTTTTTTGCGGCCGCATGAGTACTCCCACCCAAAAACTCGCCACTCACTCTTACGAGTATCGTGCCGGTTGCAATTCGCTTACGATAGCCATGCTTACCAAGCGACCTTAAGCCCGAAGCCCTGAACCCGAGAACACCCTTCTTGAAGCTTCATGGGTTACAAATAAGATTGTAATGATATCACGGTGTTGCTGTTCCGCGGCCGTGTGCCCCCGGTCGCTTCCATCAGGTCCTGGGAGGTCTTTTGCTGTCCGCCAGCCGCTGTCCCAACCTTTTGTTTTGTTTCGCCCCTGTTGGCTCCACAACCTTCCGGCAGTGGCAGAGTGAAACGGCAGTTATTCAACTTCGGTGGCTGCGCTGGGCAAAGCGACAGTCTCTTCGACTTCGGTGGTTGCGGGAATCTTTTGTGGAAGGTTATCGCAGAACTGGAAATTTGCTGATCGGTTTTGTTGCTATTGGCAGAGTCTGCAAGCTAGTGGCGATATCCAACTTGCGCAGCACTGATATGCGGCCTACACATTGCTTGGCTTGGTCAAGCCTGATGTGCTTTGCTCTTTTGCACTGGTGTTGCGATGTTGCATGACTATCACTACGATGCTTCCCACGGGTAGCTGCCTTTTCAACAACCACACTTACCAAGTCAGGTCATGCTTTTCAGTCACGCACGCTTGAAACCCTACATCCCAACCACGCTAGCCCTTGAACCCTAAAGGCCCTTAAAACCATCTAAGACCCTAAAACTCCTGCACCCCCAAACCAAAAAACTAACCACCAAGATCTCCGGATCACTGCTCAAAAAACACCGCATCTCTGAGGGCAGCACAAAGGAACTTTGAAAGACATCGAGGCCTCCAGAAAGTGTTCCATTGAGGAGTTTAGCGTTCCAAGGAATTTTTTGGAGGCGTTGGAGGGGGTTCAAAGGACTTTGAGCAGTTAGGGCCAGTTAGGGTTTAGAGCTTCGGGCTTAAGGCTTGCAGTTGACCTTTCAGGGTTGGCGTACATGCACAGACGACCTTGATAGGAGCGCTTCGAGGATGTCGTGCCTAAAGGTCTTACGGTGAGCAGCAAACCCCAGAACCCGCGGCCTCATGACGAGCACAGCTGATTTCGCATAGGGCTCGTGCAGAGATTGGATCTGCTGCACATGGTTGTCTTTCTGTTTGTGAATCCATGGACAGATTACCAGCGAAAACCCTCGAGGAGTTTGCTGCCCAGCTACCTACTTGGATCTGCAGCACATCCTGCCGTTTATCCTGCACGGCACTGTTGTCACTAGCATGGCCAGCATCCTCCCACGTCACCACCGATCATGGCAAAGAATAGCATCCTGCAGCTTGAAGTGTCCCCAGCTGCGCGATGTGTGCGTCGCGATTCGACGATCCATGCTAGATACCATGCTGCAGTGTTGCAGGCATCACCAGGAAGTCTTATGCTTTCAGGTCCTTTCGACCCTTTCCAATCCTGCCAGCCGGGACTTCCGGGCTGAAGTGGGAGCCTTCTTTCTTCACTGGCAGTGCCTGGTAGCACTTGCCGGTCGTCGGGGTAGCCTTGCGACGCGTCTCTGCAATCGCATGTCTTGCAGCTCCTGCGAGGGCTGAAATTCATCTCATCCTGCGAGAACACGCTGAGCTGGATGGCCAGGAGAAGAGCCAATATTGCTCCGTCTGGCTTAGCATGTGGGCGACAGCCTCCTTCATCCCATCGAAGCATCTGGAGACGTCTTCCCCCACAGCCAAGGAAACGGCATGCTCAGTGGGGAAGGACCCTCCCAACTCCTCTCTTCCCTTCAGCGGAGTCCTAAACCCCGAACTCGAAACCCCTACACCGCAATACGTGCACCGTAGTCTTCCGAAACCTACTCCCTGGGCTAAACCTCAGCCCCCCACTGCTTGGCTTCTCTAAGGTTCTAAGGTTCCTGCCATCTTGGCCCTTCGACCCGCCACAGCAGGAACCGGCCTGCTGCCAGGGTGCAAGGGCGTAGCAAGCTTCGGTTCTGTGCGTCTGTCGGCTTTAAGATTTACCGCAATGTTTCGGCTTGAATCTTCACTACACATCCCTCACAACATGGATGGTTGTGTATGACTGTATATGACTTTCGAAAGGTCTGTGACGTAAGACTAGATGGCACAACATGTGACTCAGGTCTGTGTGAATGTACATGCTTCTTCACGTATAGGTATGTGTAGATGTGTGCGTGTGTCAAATTTATATATATATATATATATATACTTATATATATGTATATATATGTATATGCACATACATATGCACACATATGACTGTCAGGGCGGCTAGACAATACGCGCTGCACGATACGACTTAATACGTCACTATCTTTGGCTCTACACTTGAAGACCCACGGGTTACAAGCTTTCCTCGCACCCCAAACCATGAAAACCATGAGCCCTGCATCCTAAGACCTAAGAAGCTTAGGACTTGCAGACATGAGTTCCTGCAAGTTGCACTGGGGAGAAGGGAGTCTTCCGATATTCGGGGGTTTCCGAAAATAGGGGACCCTAATATAGTACCCCCAATAGTGGGATCCTTAGTATAAGGACTCCAAAATAAGGTACCCTAATTTTTGGAAAGTTCCATTCAAGGTCTCCTTCACCACCCTCAGAAGCCAACTCGGTTACTGCAAAGCGCAGGCTTGAGACGCACCTCGGACACTTTAGCAGGCAGCGCTTCCCTTTTTGAGCAGCTGCAGCAGTCGGATCCGCCACTAGGGCCACTCATAAGACATCCTCAGTGGCAGGCTGAGACAGCATGCAACGGCCTTGTACCCAAAATCGCAGGGCTTAGGGGCATGGTCTTGATTCCTTTTATATTATATTATATTATATTATATTATATTATATTATATTATATTATATTATATTATGTTATGTTATGTTATATTATGTTATGTTATACTATATTATATTATATTATAGTCCCAACGCTCACCCTCTGGCGACCAGGTGCTTGGCGCCCGGCGGTATCCGAGCAACCCGCGTCAACAATGCTTGCGCATGCTGCGGGTCCAATGTTTTCAACCTAAGTCATCTCTGTCGGATGCATGTGACATACTGAAGAGTATGCACATGTATGAACGATGCACAAACCTAGAACGCCATGCACACCTACATTCCTCAAAGGGTAAGCTAACTCCATCTCTGTGCACGCGTGTGCAAGCATGCGGGTAGGTGCGTAGACATACATACCAGGAAGCTATGTCTGTAAGAAATGCATGCACGCCTGTCCGCATGGTTGTACGCTCTTCTAGACTCTTGCTCTACATATCATCGACTAACCCTAAACCCTACATAGTAGAGTAGAAAGCTGACCCGGTTTGAAGAACTGGGCTTCCAGCATCCACGGGCTGTCGTCCACTGCCACCAAGAGCTCCTCCATCGCCTCGCGCTCTCTTTTGCTTCCGACAAAGAACCCGCAGCCTGCAAGGCCCCTCCAGCGTCCCGTGAAGGTGGGCTAGCGTAGCGGCTTTCAAGCAATTTTTGCTTCGCAGCCGAGGCTACGTAGGAACCCTGAGGCGGGTGCCCCCTGGAAATCGGACTCGGACTCCAAACAGTCCAGCAGTGGGAGCCTCAGAGAAGTCCGCTCCCGAGCCCTGAAGATCCAAGTTCGCAAACCCCTTTTTGAACCCGAAAGTCCTATGTGAAGGGCTTGTTGTCCTCGCTCTAGACCCCTTTGAAGACTAGACACAAGAAGCCGATTCTGGGGTCCTCCAGACAAAGGCCACCGATTGATTGACACGGCTAACCCCTTTTGAGGCGTTTCAGGCTCACTTTGCTTCCCGCCCATGCGGAAGCATCGCAAATCGGAACCCTCTCCACTCTGCCAGCTGCTAGCTCAGCGCGAATCGTGCTGTCGCTGACACTAGATTGACTATCTCATTTACAATCCGCCACTGTACCTAGCAGCATAATGAGCAGCTCCTTATGGTACGGAACCTACCCAGCAAGAGCCGGCAGAGTGGTGGCTGCAGGGGCGCATTGCAGTTGGAACTACTGGGACTGCAGTGAAGAGACTGAGTGCCAGGCAGAGCTGAATCATCCTACATAGAGTTACACACAGGTGGCACCGGGACAGAGTGAAGTCTAGGTAGCATATTCCAACTGGCCTTTAATCCAACCCTTAAAGCCAGAACCTGGGCCCTGAACTTGGAGCACGAAGCAATGGCCCCTCGGTAGCCTCACCCCAAGCCCTCCCAAAGCCCTGAACCCTCCCAACAGGGCTTCGACATTACGCGCCAGGCCATACTCTTCCGGAGCCCGTTCCAGTGGCTATCCTGCAGGACCTGGCTTCCGTCAGGGTTTCAAAGGGTGATTCACTGGGACAAAAACCTTGCGATGTGGGGCCTCGGGGGCTTGGAGTTCCTGCCGGATGTGCTCCAAAAGCTTACGGGGGTTTAGGGCTTTGGGCTTCCGAGCTTGAATTTTGGAGCTTACCGGCCTTAGAGGCATGTCCAGAGACTTCTGAAGCCCCTGTGCATCAGACCACTGACATGGCAGCTCACGCATGTCGGGTGATTTGTGAGAAGGCTGGCCGTTGGGTCTGAAAACCCTGCGGCAAACAATCTCCTACAACTCCGTCACCCACATCCCAGAAAAAAAAAGCCCCCGTTTCGACTCCTTGAGAGGCTCTTAAATAGAGAGTCTGGGCCGCCGCGCGGTCTGCGTCGCCGGCAGCGGCTCCAAGAAAGGCCTCTCCTTTCCGAGACCTCGGAGGAGGATGCATCTTCCTCTTTAGCCACCGGTTCCCCCCTTTCTTTTTAAGGGCGGAGGGGGGGGCGGGGGCTTGGGAGGGCTGTTGGAGCTAAGAAGGCCTCCAAGACCTCCAAAGCCCCAGCAAGAGACCAACCCAAAGCCTCATGGCCCCAATGCCCAGGCCCGTAACTCACCCGAACGTCCTGAGGCGGTTAAGGGTCTTTCGGGGCTTCCCAAGGCGTAGGATTAAGGTTTCTTAGGGGCGTGCTTTCGGCTTCTTGGGATATCCGGGCCCGGTACGGTCCCGTGCCCAATCGAAGAGTGCCTGCGGATGCGATTTCTGAAATCCACATCCAGCTCCCGCTGCAAGTAGAGTTTAGGGTAGAGGATTGGGTTTTGTGTTTTCAGGGACTCGGGGCTGCAGTTGTTGAAACCTACGCTGAACTCTGAACCCACTGGGCTTGGGGCCTAGGGCTTCTAGGGCTTCGGGGTCCTTGCGACTGCGAGAGGTCTATAGGGTCTAGATGTCAGCATAGTAAGGTCGTCACAAGGTCTTTGAATTGTTCGCGCGTTGGAGGACTACAAGGTGATGGATTCCAAACTTTCTGGACCGTCATCTCGAGCAGAGAAGTCCCGACTTACAAAACCCTAAATCCAATCCTAAGGTCCCGACACCACACACACACACACACACCGCTGAACCCAAGGCCTAAGGGCCTACAAATCCTAAAGCCTAAACCGAGAGAACCCTCAAACTGTCAGGTTGAACGAGCCTCTCGCGCAGCTGCCGTCTCCAGCGTCGCCTCCCCAACAGGATGTGCACCAAAATCACCAACGTCTTCCCCAAATCGCCAAAGACTCGCCGAACTCCAAACCTAAAAAGCCGACCTAGTCCCAGAGGTCCGAAATCTCTGCCTTGGAACGGACAGCGTAGATATGACCAAAACCCAGAAACAGGAGCCGGACAAGTCAATCATACAGTGAATGACCAACACATTTTGTGAACAAATAAGGGTATGGCAATCGGCAGAAGCACATCTTCCCCGGAAGACCCTCCCTCCATCGTGGCAACAGGGCCCAGTCACGACTGGGCCAGGCTTGAGCCGGTGGCTAAGTGCTCTCAGAACATAAAGGAACTCTGATGCAAAGGAAATCCCCCTACTACAGACTCTGATAGACGTAGATGCCATAAAGGACTACCATAGACCCTGATAGATACTCTACGGGTTCCTATCATATCTATACTCTAGAACCCTACCCTCCTTTTCCCCCGACCCTCCCCGCTGCCTTCTCCGCCTCTGCGGCGTGACCCACCCCAGGGCCAGGGCGCACGGCCTCAGCTGCACGGAGTTTCGGGGAACCGTTTTCCCTAAAACCCGAAACCCTAAACCCCTAAAACCCTAAAACCCTAAAACCCCAAAACCCTACAACCCTAAAACCCTTAAACCCTAAACCCTAACCCAACTTCTTGGGCCCAAGACCCAAGAGCCCTTCGACCCTCCCAGGCCGGGGCTCCCGGCGCCCCCGAAGTGCGAGAGCTTCGGGGCCTCGGAGGCGCGGAGCTCCTTGGAGGCCTGAAAAAAAAGAAAAGAAAAAAAAGGGTTTAGGGTTTAGGGTTTAGGGTTTAGGGAGCGCCCAAGGAAGGATCAAAGGGGGGGACGTATAGAGAAGTTGGGGGGGGCTCCTGAAAGGAATATTTTTCGCGCCCCAAAGGGTCGTAACTCTATAGTTCCCGAAACTTGCAACGATGCTTGCTAAGTCCCATCCTCCGAATGCTCTAAGCAGAGAAGCTGTGGATGGACAAACTCCTGCACAACCTTCGGGTTCGGGGTTGAGGCTCTTTTCGATTTAGGGTTTTGGGGGCCCCTACACGATGGGAGTGATGGTGGGCTCCTGACTTCTGATAGATACTGGCGGAGTTTGTGCATCAATCGGATGCGAGTTTGTGTCTTCTGGGCTTGGGCTATCGGGCTTAGGGCTTTAGGACTTTAGGGTTTGGGGTCTCAATCTCAGGGTTCGGCTGTTGCCCCGGGCTCAGATGGTAGCAAACACGATAATGAGAATGACTGCTAAAGAGCCTATGCATCCCACAAACGCGTTCATTGCTATCATGGCTGTTTATTGCTGTTGCAGCTACACGTAGAAATGCTATAGCGTGCTGAGGGTCAGGATCCAAGAGGACCAGATCACACCTAACAGCGACACCTTGCCCCTGCAAGGAAAAACGATTCAAGTTCCTGGTTGGGGCATTCCGAAGGGAGGTGGGTGCTGGACAGCCATAAGCTCCGGGTTGTAAAGAAGCTCGAAGATATAGCGCACCGCTACAAACGCCATGACATCATCTAACAATCCACTCATCTGACACAAAGACTTGACAATTCCCCTTTAGAGGCCCGAGAACCCCCCTGAAAAATCCCAGAGTATGTGATCGGAAACAGAGGGTAGTCCTAGGGTTTGTAAACCTCCGCATGGGCGGGCCCCGCCCCAAGCCCCCAAAGCTGCAACTCCAAAGCTTGAGAGCCCCTAATTGGGTTTAGGGTTTAGGGTTTAACCGCTTAGCCGATTCCGATGGGGTGACTTGACCCGCAGGGCCTCTCGCCAAGCCTCTTTCCACAGGTTGTGCTTCACGTACCTGAGCTGGCTGCATCTCTTGGGGTCGTTACGGGTGTAAGGGTTGCCCTTTCGGTGCTGGCTTGTGCTCCAGATTCAAAGGCTTCAGATACTGTTCCGTTACGACTAAGTGGAGCTTGCTATGGATGACGCGCGATTTTTTCGTCTATCAACAACGACATTGGGGCCCAAACGACTTTGCAACGGCTTTTGCGGTTACCTCGTACAAGCTGCTTGCAGGTATTGGCCTCTCCAAATAAACCGGCCCGAGCCTGATGATAAGGACCCCGAACAGGGGAGGACACCCAAAACCCTGGCACCAAGGAGGCAATCGAAGCTCCGACTCCAGAACACCCAGCCCTCTGGAAAACCTCCAATTTTTGTCTACACCACCTGTCGGTTTTAGGGGGGGCCGGGGGGGGGGGGGGGGGGTGTTGGGGCTTTTCAGGGCTTCGGGTCCTTGAACCTAGAGGTCACGGATTCCCAGAACCAAGCCACCAAATCCAGGCCGGGCTTAAGCCCACATCCAATAAAACTCCTTTTGAAAGCCAGAGCACACTCCAGGACTCCTAGCAGAGACCTGAAAACCCCCTCGGAGCCCCAAAGCTAAGCTCCCAAATGCGAAGCGAACACAATCCCCCCCCCACCCCCCGCTGTCCCCACCAAAGGAAGCCCACCCCCCTAAGCCCAACGTTCCGAGCCGCAAGAGCAGGAACCACTCAAGGTCGCTGAGGTTCACGGTGCTGGCCGCCGCCGAGTGGAAGGCGTCGGTCCAGAGCGCAGAAGCCTCTCTCAGAGAGCTTTGAAGGGCTTCACGTGGTAGATCCTCAGGTCGTTATGAGGTCTATACATTGGTATTGTATGTATCTTTTTCAGGAGACAGAGGTCTTACAAGTGGGCTTTAGAAAGGCTTACAAGGGCAACCCTGCGCTGTTTTGTGACCACGTGATGAACAGCTTCTTCGAACATTACCACCGTGTTATGATTTATGCCTTTAAGGTTTAGGGTTTAGGGT